TTACCTTGCCGGATGTCTTTTTACAAAGTAATGAATTCTCTAAAAGAATGTAACATTAGTTCATTTATTAGAATTTGTTTAATCAAACTCTTCTGTTCAGAACATATGCAGGTACTAGAATGTGTTAAAAACATAGTAACTCTTACTTGCATATGTATGGTTATGCTTGTGGGGTTGGACTAGATTATCCCACAGTTGATGAAATTGATCTAAACCATTCATGTCTTATATGATTATCTATGGTAGGTCACCATGATACTGACTCTGTTGTCTTTTGCTAAACTGAATCTTCAATGGCTTGTGGTAAAGATGCAGACCACATCGTTGCACTCTGTGATGAGGTATGACTTTTGAGTGTCTCTTATAATGGAGCTGCGTCACCAGTGACTTAATTAAGTGTTGAAATGTTTCAGCCAGGTTGTTCAAGTAGGAAATTCAGTGCTAATCTTTGGCTTAGTCGCGAAGGGTATGAATCAACTGCAAGACATGTTTCAAAATTCCTGAAAGGGCTCTCTGTTAATGGTGAGAATGATAGAGAGAGGTGAGAACTGTGAATTTTTTGTATTCAGGTACTTGACGAATTAGTTTTGGAAGCTGATCCCTCTGCGGTCAAAGAAGTGGCATTATTGATACAATTCACCATGGAAAGAGCAGTGTTATTTCGTGGTTTTTGTTTCAATATCGTCCTATTTTGTCCATGTATAACTTATTCCTTAGTCTTTGGAACTCTGTTCTGACAAATCTTCATCATTATCCTCTAGTTTTGCTGCAAGTCGAACTGAAAGTTGGACAAACATGGGGTTCTTTGGAGCCGTTTGAGGCTGAGAATTAGGCAGATAGTGTTGAAGTTCCCTGTTTCTGAAGAGTGATGCTATGTTTTTGGCTTGTGCAAGTAAAACAATATTGATGATAACAAAGGCTGAATCGAACGTCAACTGCATGTGTATTTTAAGATACATGTAGGTGATTGATGACCTTCTGATTGCTTATAAATTGTATATCATAACCTTTCTCTTTGATTTTTATGATATTTATCTTCGGATTGCTTACAAAGTTTAGTAACACACTAAATATGGTCTAATTATATCAATTCCCCTTGCAGATCACTCACTGTAGACTTAATAACTGCATTGGCTGTTGATTGTAGGAGAAGCTTTCAAAAAAATATACCCTATCAGGTTACAATTAGTTGATTAATTGATGACCTTGCCACCAGGTGTGCTCTCTGCATCCTATGTGTCTTGTTATCCTTTTTTCTGTTCAACTTCTGGATATATTAAATTCATGTTGCTGAGATGACTTTGAAATTAACAACTAATTTATCAACTCTTGCAGATCCTCTTAAGTGAGTTGGTAAGAAGGGAGAAGGTAGCTGGGATATTCCCTGAAGCAAAAGTGGACCTTTTTGTGAAGGTGAGTGAGTTAAACAACAGAAGGGTGATTAAGTGAGTTAAACTTCATGGATTAGCATTAACTATTAATCAGATTACTTTTGATTTTGGCAACAGCCATGAAGGGTGTTCAAAGAAGACTCAATACATACTACACTCTGGAAGTATTGCTTCTACATAATTATAATTATATTAATCTCATTCATAAACTTTTTCATTTTACAGGTTTGCTGGGATTTTGTATGAATTAGCGGCTGCCATTTAGATAAGGAAGTTGATCTGCTAGATAAAAAGGTATAAATTTGTTTGATTTTTCACAATAGCCTTCATAAATATCGAAGTTGTGTTGGTGGCCATGTCACTACTTCCAGTTTTAAAGCTATTGTAATGTTTAACTTTAAACATTCGCCTGATTATATTCCCATTTCTCAATTTCCAGGTTGCAGACAATTAGTTTGGTGAGCTGGTTCACTTGCAACATCAAGGGGGGAAAATGACTGGTAAGTTTTCTTGTTATTTACCTGCTATCATTGAAGTTAAGCCTCAGAAGTTAGATGGTTGTCAACAGCCCTTGGCTAAAAGTGCAATTTGGTTATCTCCTAGGTTCCAATGCCCCCGATAGCTACCCTATGATTACAAGGCTAAAACTAGATTCTTCCCATTTTCCAGTTTGGTAGTTGGTGAACCATGAATATAAAAGCAGGGGGTTCTGGGGTGCGAAGATGTTGACTGAGATTTTTCCATTTTATGATTGATGGTTTTCCCCCGGTAATTATGATTAATATTGTTTGGCCTGCTGATGCCTTGTAATTATGGTTAATCCTCCGAAGTTTTGAATGGATGTTTCTGCAGGGCTGGAAGTTAATGAAGGAAAGTTGATCTTTGTTGCTTCAAAGGGTTCTGACTGGATTTGGTGGTATAAGGAGCAAGGAGGGACTTTAAGTGGGAGTTTTGAGCTTTTGTAGTGGGTTGAATGGATGTATAAACTTTAGAATGTTGAATTGGTAGTATTAGAATGCTGATTGTGAGTGTTTTTTTTTTGTTTTGTTGAGAAATGATGGTTTTATTCTCAAATTTGGAGATTCAATATAAAGGCTTTCAAAATCAGATTGAGTTTGTAGTTAAAACTATTAAATATTGATATTTGGGAATCACAGCAGGCAAGAGGCAATTATTAGAGCAGGTTTCATCACAAAAAGGGTCAGGTAATTTAGCGGCGGTTGTTTACTTTTGGCGACGGTTTATGTCGTTGCTAAATGTGCTGATTTATATTTCAACGAATTCATTTAATGACGTTTTATTTTTGAATAACGACGGTTAAAGCCGTGGCTAGAATATAGCGACGTTCAGTGCGACGGTCGACCAAACTTGTCGCAAAAAATATTAAGGACTGCTGAGTCTGTGACGTTCACATGTCCGTCGGTAAAAGTATTAGTGACGGTTTCGACCGTCACTAACTATAAATAAAACCGTCGCTAAAGGCCTGTTCTGTTGTAGTTATTAAAGCACCAATACTTTATAGCATTGTAGAAATGCTCGAGATTTGATATAATTTATCAGGATAAGTACAATATAATGACTATTTCTACATTTCCGGGCTAAACCGAATTAAAACAAGTGACCCATTAACTCTTGACCCACTAGCTCGACCGGTTCCAAATCAACCCATTGTTGACAACATTGGCTGTATCCCTCTGACCAACTACTCCATCTGCTCAGCCCCATAGTTACAACAATTGATTGACGGCGTAAAAGGCTCCCTCCCGTATTCTTCCTTACTGCCCAATTTGACTCGTGCTCTCATGATGAACTCCTCAACCGGTCCGACCACAATTTACTTTCGGTTTCATTTATTCTATGTTCTACTGACTCACCATTTTGATAATGATCCCTCACTAACTCACAACAGTTAGGAAATTAACACACGTTGAAATTTTCTTCAAGAAAACGCACACTTTAAATTAAACATCGAAATTAATTGATCAATTAGGGTTTTCATCGATCGTTACTTCCTTACCCGTGGGTGGGCTAGCTGTGTTGCATATGTTGGTCCGGTCAATTGGGCGGGTTGACTACTTTGCAGAGTTGTGGATGAATCCGTCAAACACACTATGGTCTTGGGGCTCCAGTTTCAGCGAAAGAGACACCGGCCGGCCCAGTAATTCGTCCACGCTCGGCCCACCGTTGACGAGGCCGCCCGGATTGCAGGGATTGGCGGTTTCTCTTCTCTCTAGCCCTTCCAGTTTCGACTCATGACTTGGAAATGGACTTGTTAGGGATGGCAATCAAACCCATGCCCACGGGTATCCGACCGCCCCCGACCCAGTCAACGCGGGGAATCCCCGCATTGACCGGGTATGGGTAAAACCCGCAAAAAGTTTGATGGGTATGGGGCGGGTATGGTTTTAGCCTCCCCCGCCCCATACCCATACCCGCCCCACCAAAAATATTTCTTCACATATGAAAAATATGTGAATCGATTTGTAACCTATCAATAATAGTGAGTATAACTCAAGAAAAATATATAGTAGAAATGCAATTAAGTGACCACTCAAATCAAAATCTAATTTATTTGTCTCAATTTTCCCTTCACTCTTTCACTTTTTCCCCTTGTTAACAAGATTATGTTAGTTAATTATTACTTAATAGATGTATCACAGTAGAGAATAATGATTTGAATGACATTGTACTCTACTCTTATATGGATTAATGGATGCTTTAGGATAAGATGCTTTGAACCGTATTAAAAATGATTGTCTCTTTGTAAACTTCATGATATAGTATGTGCGTTTAATGTTATAATTGAAAGTATACATGTAAAATATTCCGTATTATAATATTGGATGTACGGGCGGGTATTACCCATGGGTACCCGAAACCCATGGGTATGGGGATGGGTTTGCAAAACCTTCTCCCGCATGGGTATGGGGCGGGTATGGGTATAGATATTCGAAAACGGGGATGGGGATGGTTTAGGCAAACCCGCTCCAAACCCGCCCCATTGCCATCCCTAGACTTGTATGGTAAACACTAAACACAATCGTAGTTCCGTTTGGACCAAAATAGTGAAGAATGGAACAAAAATAAACATAACCGCTAGGGATGGCAATCAAACCCATGGCCGTGGGTACCCGACCGCCCCCGACCCAGTCAACGCGGGGAATCCCCGCTTTGACCGGATATGGGGCGGGTATGGGTAAAACCCGCAAAAAGTTTGATGGGTATAGGGCGGGTATGGTTTTGGTCTCCCCCGCCTCATACTCATACCCATACCCGCCCCACCAAGAGAATTTCTTCACATATAAAAAATATGTGGATTAAATTGTAATCTATCAATGGTGATGATGATAAATAGAGGAAATAAATAGCAGAAATGCAATTGAGTGACCACTTTAATCAAAATCTAATTCATTTCCCTCAATTCTACTTTCACTCTTTCACTTTCCCCCTTGTCAACAAGATTATGTTAGTTACCTATTACTTAGTAGATGTATCAGAATCAGAAGATAATAATTTGAAAAATATTATACTCTATATTATGTATTAATAGATGTTTAGGGATCATATACTTTGAACCGTATTAAGAAAATGATTGTGTTTTGTTGACTTAATGATATTATAGGTTTGTTTAGAATTATAATTAAAACTCTTCTTGTAAGTTTTAGATATAGTAATGTTGCATGTACGAGTACGGGTATTACCCTTGGGTACCCGAAACCCACGGGTATGGGGATGGGTTTGCAAAACATTCCCCCGCATGGGTATGGGGCGGTATGGGTTTGGATATTTGAAGATGGGGATGGGGATGGTTTAGACAAACCCGCCCCATTGCCATCCCTAATAACAGCCAATTGAAGTGGTGAATAGGCCAAGGACAAAATGACTTCAATTTCAAATATAGATAACAAAATGACTTCAAATATAGTAGTAAAACCACTAATCTTCAACTTAGAAGTCTCATGTATGAATATCTTTAAGCCGTATTTAATTAAAAAAAGTAACATATATCACACTTATCGGGAAAATAGTGTAACATCCCAATCTTTTTTTGAAAACCAAACCAGAACTCAAAGCGAAAAACCGGTTACTCCGGAGCAACCAAACCACCTTTTAAATAAACAAACTGACATTACTTAAGAAGTTCAAACGAAAAGCCCTAACACTTGGGCAATCAAAATCCAAATACTTAAACAACTTAACCCAGTATCTTGAACCTTAAATCTCCAGTACATATACTCATAATCATAATCATAAAAATAACTTTCAAACTTTAACTATAACACTTCACCCAGCTCCTTGAAATCTCATCATCAGTACTGGCACGACCGCTTGCCTCATCTTACTCCTTCTCGGGATTCACTTCCGCTAACCCAACCTCAACCTGGTGAGTGAGAAGGGGTCAGTCTCGTCGTTACTTCCTAAGGTCTCTACTCTTAGAAAACTCCTTGCTAAAACACGTTATTAGCTTTTCCTTTCCTTAGATGAAAGTCGTTCTCACTTTCATCCTTAATAACTCATTTCAACTTTAACTCATAGAGGTCTTCAACTTTTAACCTTAAGCCATAGAAGTTCTCTACTACTACTACCTTAACTTACTTATACTAGGGAATCACCGCGTTACGTATCGCCGTCCGGTGTCCCTATCCTCAAGGCAATGGTACTGCGTTACGTATCGCCGTCCAGTCCATGCCCGGTCAACTACTGCGTTACGTATCGCCGTCCAGTAGTGATCCGACCATCTACCGCGTCCAGTAGTGGCCCAACCGTCCGGGGGTTCAATTATCATCCACCATACATCACAAACATACACATACATAGCACAACGCGTGCCTCCACCTTAAGTAGGCGGTGGGATGCCTCACACACATAATCGCGCTTACTTGAAAATTAAATAACATAACTGAATTAAAAAGGCAGAAACTGAAAGACTTCGACGGAGATTTTACCCCCTTTACACTCACCTTATTATTCGAATCGATTGGCTCGAATTCACTGAAGTCGTTCTCTTCAATCTCCATTCCTTCTCTAGTAATGTGATCTCGTACTCCTCTTTCCCTAAAAAAACATTCATGTACCCCCTAAAATGATCACAAAGTCACCCATATAACATCCTATATTGTTATACCGTGTCTATTTATCTAAAACTTCAAAGTAGATGGTCCAGTTTGTGAATCCCCACACTGAAATAGCTCTGCTTTAGTCCCTAAGCCTCGTTAGCTTAATACCAGTACCCGTAGCCACTTAGGTGTGCACCGTGAAAGATAAGTGATCTAGTCTAATTCCAATACCCACTGTCAAACCCATATAATCATGGTATTCATTTAAAGAGGATCTTCCATGTTAAGCATACTCCATTCACGTGTCTCAAACTCCATGCATAAGGATCCAAATTAGTATTTTAGCTCAATTATGTGCCAAAACACTACCATTAGGCAAGACATGCACGTTTTCCCCTGGATCCTAGGATAGAGCCACTTTTGATAAAGCATGCCATCGATAAATTCCCCAAATCATTTACCCTGAACTCAGCTAATTCGTACTTGTCTTCCAATTAACTATATATGACCATGTATATATAATCACCATGATCAAATATGAGAGGAAAGACCCTTACCTCATTTTCCCCCTTCACGTCGCCTGAGTTCCAGCAACATAAAGACATCCACCGTCTTTGCACGTAAACTTTAAGAACCATTTTTTTACATATATCGCTCCAGTTCCCTCAGTACTTCTGTTTGTCAATCGCCATCATCATCAGAGGTAGCTATCATTGTCGATCTTGGCTTCCCAGTTGCGATCGACCTGTACTCCATTTAGACTGCCACCGGTCAATCTAGATTCCTTGATTGTCCCCCTCTCTCATGTGGGTTTTGGCATCCGCTTCCGGCTCTCCAATCGATCGATGAAGCTACAACTCTCTCCCTCCCTCCCTCTCTACCGGACACTCCCTATCTCCTTTTTCCGCTGCTGCTCGTTAATTAGAAGGAGGGGTGAACATAGGGTTTTACGTTGGGGAACAATAATGGGGTTGGGACGTTTGGGGAATTATTGAGAGAGAGAGAGAGACGGGGAAGAGAGGGGCACTGATGGGGTTTGGGGTTTCTTATTATTACTTTTCCCCCTTTTAATTGCTGCTGGGTAACGTGGGGATGATGAGGAATTATATAATTAATAATAACACTAAGATTGATAACTACTATTATTATTTCTAACCCACGGATGCAATCTTTCGTACGTAATCATCGATCCAATTGTTCGGTCGAACTTAGACTCAAATGTCGGGGTGTTACAAATAGACTCTTTCCTATTACTATTGACCCAAGAAGGGTCAATACTACTATCAATTCTTACTAATACACAACTAAATCATTACTAATCTCAAAAATTATAAATTGTAAAATGTATAGTTCAACGACGTAAGCAACGTGATGATAATAATAATTAATTCCTCTTATATGGTCTCCCGAGGAGTTTCACACCTCCTTTCTAAAATAATAAATACCACGTCCTTCTTCACGTCTTCAAATAGCAACACAAATTTAACCGGGACGAAAATTCGCATATGATCCACGATCATTGACCCGTAATCAAGAGGCAAAGCTAGGAACAGAAGCATAAACACACAAATGATGCAATCTTTGGATCCAATCCAACTCTGCCAAAAATTTACAGCCAACCAACATCACATAGTGACTTAACATGTTTACACCTAAAAAAATACTATTGTACCACATTGATTACTTGCAATACATTAATTGTCTTTATAAGGCCAGATCAATGATAACGATTAATGTTATTTAAACTGGGCCTTATGGTACTAGATTTTTAAACCCAAACCACTAAGTCTCCGGGAAGGAGCTAATCTCGTCGCGAGTCTACAAGATCAGGCTCGTCGCCAGTTGGGTAGCCCAAGGTGGTCGCGAGATCTTGCCAACGTTGACGACAAGTTAGGGGTCGGCATACGGTTCATTTTACCGAATCGAACCGAATTCAAACCGACCGAAACCGAACTATTCCTTATTAGGTTCTGAATTCGGACGGGGATATCCTGAATTTCAGGATACATGTGTCTTTCAACCAAACCGAAAAACCAATTTACCGACCGAATTTCCGAATTTAAAATGGCCAAACCCCTTTCTAAACTTTAGTCTACTCCCACTTAATTCTTAACCCAACTAAAGCCCAATTTCCAAGCCCAACTCCTCTCAATCACTCATGTCCAGTCCAGAACTCCAGGTCCATCCAATTTCCAATTCCCCTTAGTAGTTTCGTTTGACAACCGAAAAACCCTAACTCCCCTAAGGTAATTGTCGAAGCAGTAGCCATCAACCAGCAGAGAGGCGATGGGGTGCTGCAAGCCTACGAGCACGACTTGCTGCCGCTGCTCCCCGTAGGCCATCTCGGAATCCCCGACCTCGACGTCCTCTTCCTGAGCCCGACTTCCTGACTGCTGACTCCCTCCATCTCTCGCGACCGCTCCCAGCTCCGTGACTCCCTCCATCTCTCCCATTCCTGTCGGCCATCTCGGCATCTACCGCCAGCCTCCCAGTCCGTCACTCGCCGCCTGCCTCCCACTCCCAATCTCCCAGCCATCCACAGAATCTCCCGCCGGGAGCCGACAACCACCAATCAGTCGCCGCCTAGAAACATGACCACCAGTCGAAGGCCAAAGAAAACCACCGACAGCTCCACCAACGTCGACGTGGAAGGTCAACAGATTCCAAACGAGAACGTGGACGTCCATGTGTTGGTAGGTTCCTAAAATTCCAGAACCTGATATTGCTATTTCAGTTTGCTATTTGATATTGTTATTTGAGTTTATTATTTGAGATTGCTATTTGTTTAATAGCAAGTGTGTTGTGTCCAGAAGACCAGAAGGCAAAATGTAATTTGTTGGTTTGTAATTTAGGATATAGAAAACTACTTTGTTGGTTAAATTTAGGCGTGTGAATTAAGGACAAACCATTTGAATTTGTAATTTTTTATGTTGCTGAAGGGCTAATGCTGACTTTTGTGTTTATTGATGGTGTAGGAAGAGGATTCATCGGCCGGTGGTAATGAATATTTGGAAGGACTTGAGGTATTGTACTTGTGTTGAATATTTGGAAGGTGGACATTGATTATCTTTCAACTTTGAATTCTTGTCTTAATTAGTTGTATTTGGTCTATAAAATTGAAATGGTGGTAACAACTCAAATGAGAATCCAAAATAGTGAAAATACAGCAGCCCTATCCCCTATGGTCCAAATTCCAAAAGGCAGTAGAAGCACCCAAAATGGCACGACACTTAGCAAGGCAGCAACTTGCAATTTCGGTTCTGAGAAGGAAACCGAACCGAGGCATAATTTGGTTCGGTCGAACCGAACCAAATTATTGATCGGTTCGAATTCGGTCGAGTGTAGGGAACTTCGGAAAGTCGGTTTGTGTCATTTTGGTTCGGTTCAAACCGAACCGACCTAACGCCCACCCCTACGTCAAGTCCAACAGACCAAAGTGGTCACAAGATCTAGCCTACATTGACGTAAAGTCTAGTAGACCAAGGTGGTCACGAGATATAGACCACATCGCGACATCTAGACACCATGTCACTCATGATATGTTGAAGGCCCTCGTCTTGAGATCTGGAATGGACATGGTAAAAGGGGGGACAAGTAACAAGACGACAGTTCCAAGAAAGAAAGCAGGCGGTGAAGAGGAAACTTGCAGATTATCCCAAGTTCAAGGACACGTCAGTCACGTCCGAAGAAGAAGGGGAGCAGTTCTTTTTTGAAGTTACTCTCGGACTGTTTTTTATGACGGTTACATCTTCAAGGCTATAAATAGGAGGAGGAGTTGACAGAGAAGAGGTTGGCACACTAGGTGGGACACTTGTGGTCGATTCGATGGCTCCGAGACGGAGGAATCAAAAAGGTGATGTTCCGGCTGCTTTGATGGAGGAGCAGGTGGCCAAAATCAACATGGCCAAGCATCAGAGGCGGTGACCAGAGGGAATGGTGGAGCGGAGATCTTGGTGGCTACCATGCCTAGTGGAGATCTCGGTGAAGTAGTGGGGGCCCTTCGTTAAATGATGGAGGAGAACCGCAAGATGGTGGTAGAGAACCGTCAAGCCACAGAGGAGAACCGCCAAATGATGATGGAGGAGGCGAGGGCTGGTACTCATTTGGATACCATTGAAAAGGGACGTATCAAGTTCCCTGAAACAAAGAAGGATGTCATGTTGGTGGACACTAATTTGTTCCCCAACGCCGCCTCGAAGGAGCCCCAAGCAGGCCAGCAAGGCCGCAATGATGACTGAGGAAGTTGAGAATTTGTACGCCCCATGCAAGAAGGGTCTCAAACTCGATGAGGAGAAGCCGAGTCCATCCATTCACCAAAGAATTGGTTTTCCTAACAAGCCAAGGTATTCGTCGTATGGGAGACACGTGGAAGGAGTGAGGCAGCCAGCTTGGGGCGACCAAGGCAATGGGTGGCCCATTCCCCTTTCCAAAAGAAAAGAACATTCCAGATGCCAAATGTTCGACAGGGTAGATGGCATATGTATGATGCTCGTCGTCAACAACCAGTAGCAGTGGCTGAGATGACAATGACCCAAAGAAGAAGGTTCCTTCGCAAGAATGCTCAAGCACGTCAAGGCCAATTACCAGTGGCTCGTGGAAACATAATGGGTGTGACACAATGGAGGAGAGAAGATATTCTTCAATAAAATCTCAAGGTGGAAAACTCCATGACCACAAGGCTCAAAGTGAGCGGACTGACAAAGGCAAGCAGGTCCAAGTTCGGAGTGAAGTCAAAGGCCAAGAGGGGGTTGAAGACGATTCCGAAGAAGAAGAAGACGAGTATGAGGGTGGTCTACATGACCATGTCGATGATGATATGCTTGAAGGTGATCTTCCCAACTTCTATTTCAGTAGGAGGCAAGCAAGACGGAGGAAACCTTATGGTCGTCTTCATATGCCAAGTAAGGCGGTCAAGACAGAGGAGCATGTGACACCATGTAAGGCCACCAAGACTAGACATGCTGACCATGTACCACCCATTAGTAAGCTAGAAAATTCAAAGTTAATGTACGAAGAATCATCTATCATGAAGGAAAAGAGTAATGTGGTCTATGAATTGCTTGCTTGTTTTGACCCATGCACTTGGAATGGGTGTACAACTTTGGTGCATGGATTGTTGCCAAAGGATATGGAGAACAGTGACGTTTGTCACTCCTTGCCATATAAAATAAATAAATATATATAATGTAGTTATTATATATTTATATATAAAAAATTGTATCCAACCATGGCTAAAAAGAGAAAGAGAGAAAAAATAAAGTTGGAGTGTTAAAACCAAAGTTTGGCTGAGGAAGTCTACGGAGATGGGCCAGCTTGTTAGATTGAGTGGTATGTTGTCAAACTAATTAGTCCATAATTTTCATTCACTAAGTAGTTGGGAGCATCTGTTTACACCTAAAAAAATACTATTGTACCACATTGATTACTTACAAGGCATTAATTGTCTTTATAAGACCAGATCAATAGTAACTATTAATGTTATTTAAGCTGGACCTTATGGTACTAGATTTTTTAGCCCAAACCACTATGTCTCCGAGAAGGTGCTAATCTCGTCACGAGTCTACTAGTTCAGACTCGTCATGAGTTGGGTAGCCCAAGGTGGTCGCGAGATCTAGACCACGTTGGAGTCAAGTCCAATAGACCAAGGTGGTCACGAGATCTAGACCACGTTGCCGCCAAGTCTAGTAAATCAAGGTGTCGCGAGATCTAGAACATGTTGGCGTTAAGTCTAATAGACCAATTTAGTCGCGAGATCTAGACCACATCGTGAGATCTAGACACCATGTCAGTCGTGTGATGTAGAATGCCCTCGTATTGAGATCTTGAATGGCCATGGTAAAAGGGGGGCAATTAACAAGACATCAGTACCAAGAGAGAAAGCAGGCGTTTAACAGTTCGACTGCTGATCATCCCAAGTTCAAAGACACGTTAGCCACGTCTGAGGAAGAAGGGGAGCAGTTCTTTTTGGAAGTTACTCTCAAACGATTTTATATGACGGTAACCACTTTAAGGCTATAAATAGGAGGAACAGTTGACAGAGAAGAGGTTGGCCAAATTCACACCATACAACTCAATGTCAACATTAATCTTTTTATCTTTCCTTTGCAACTTTTAGCAATAGTCGCAGATCTAGAGCTCTCACTGAACCTCCATAGGAGTAGGAGTAATTAAGTAGATTTGTCCGTGAGTCTTGTAAACATCAAACACCCTCGTTCAAACTTTGTTTGAAGAGGTGTGAGTCGTGTCTTAGTAATCGTTGTCCAAAGAAGTCAAAGGTGCAATCAATTCGATTTCAACGCAAGTTTTCTCATCGAAAAAAAGAACCATAAAAAGATCTCGACTACCACATTTTCATATAAAAAAGTACATGCTTCTTTTTTAAGCAAAGTAGACAATCTATTCCAAATAATTATTTGAATAGACATCTCTGAAATTGAAACACGAGATCATCAATAAATTTCTGATATTTCGGTCTATCCGTCTCTCTCTCTCTCTCTCTCTCTCTCTCTCTCTCTCTCTCTCTCTCTCTCTCTCTCTATCTATCTAGGAAGCAAACGCAATATTGGCATCCAAAACTTAAATTAAAATAGAACGTTCACGGGTAATGGCCATTACGTCATAGTTTAACCAATTCACACTCATCGAATAGATGTGTGCCGAAAGAGGCGGAGTGATCCATCTTAGCAAGGAAATCAGCTGAAAAGTTGCATTCTTTGAAAATATGTGAAATTCTAGCTTCCCAATCAAGCTTTAAAATGCGATCAATCTCCAAAGCCAGCAGACCATGGCGGTCTCTTTCCACTGAAAGGAAAATGAAAATATTGATTACATGGCTTAGTAGTTCCAAAAAAATTGCAGATTAAACAATGATAGATCATGGTGATTGATGACTATTTGCTGTTTAGTACAGTAGCGAGACACCAATGCTTTTGCATTTGGCCTTCTTTAGTTTGTTGAGATCTCCACCCCGTTTTGCTTCAAAACAGATTTTGAAGCAAACATCGAGCCCAACATATTTCACGTACCAAGGTTCTCCTCCTCCTCGTACTCCTTCATCAGTCTCACCGAATCAGTTCTTGTCAAAACACATGTACACAACATCTGACGAGGACAGACCCAACAAGAAATTGTCAGGGAAATGGTAGGGAAGAGATCGATTGAAGGCGTGATTAGATCACTCTCCTTAGAGTGTTTATTTGCCCCCACTACTTAGTTGCTGGTAGGATTTAGGCAAACCACCCCCCAGGAGTCCCTCCAATCAAAGTCAGAAAGCAGCACCTTTCGTGACTTCTGTGTTTGTGTTTTTGGAGAAGGAAAAATGAGGAGAAGAAGATGAACGTTTTTCGAGAACATCAGCTGCAGAAGACTTTTTATAGTGAAAACGACAGTTCCCTTCCGAAGGGTTACGTCGTTTCACAAAAGTCAAAATCAAATAATTATCCGGATTAATTAATTAAAATAATTCCGGTAATTAATTATCCGGATTAAGTGCTAAGTGCGTAGTGTGATTTAATATGTCAAATTAAATAGCCCACACATTTTCCAAAAGCCCACTAACCACTTTATCCAATAACTAAAGTGGAAAGCAAACTTAAAAAGAACTTGCACTTTCCTTCTCCCACCAATGTGGTATTTCCTTTACTCTTTGACTACTCTAACAATCCCCCACTTAGTCAATAAGAGTCGAGAATACCTGCCTCGAACAAGTAACGCATACATAAAGGTATCTTTTCGATTTGAACCTTTACTTAGTGTAAGCATCTCAAAGTTCATAGCGAATCAATGACGGGCTTAAGTCTAGGAGTCAAGATCCAAAGCTAGAACCGGAGACACCACACACGTACTCATCTCTTATCTAAAACACAACCACCAACAAGGGTAGCACTATTATGGCCATGTGCTTATCCTGTTTCATGAGCATATACAAAAGTTGACCTTTACTTTCGTTAGAGCGGCACCACTCCAAATGCTCACATAGGTGACATTCCAAATGAACGTCATTAAGAGTTCTATAACTCACCCTTCTTACAGCTAATTTACTTGTACAAAAAACTAGTTCCCAGTTAGAGTAACTTGTTATTACCACATTGAACCTTTTAATTAGTGAATATCTAAAGAAAATGTTGGGTTTCCATTACTTCGAACTATACAAAAGGTCTCAATCCCATCCCTTGGGATGTCTCATAGATCATGCCTCTTGGCAACCCCTTTGTAAGAGGATCTGCCAAATTGTTGCACTACCTTACATACATAATAGAAATGATTCCGTTAGTAATCAAATACCTAACGTAATCATGTTTTAGGCTAATGTGTATAGACTTACCATTGTAAATCTTGTTATAAGCTCTAGAAAATGTAGCCTCACTGTCACAGAAGACAGAAATGGCTGGCATCGGTTGTGGCCACAACTTTATATCTAACAACATGTTTCTTAGCCATTCTGCTTCTTTTCCAGCCGCCGCAAGGGCTAGGAATTCGGCTTCCATAGTGGAGTGTGTAATACATGTTTGTTTCTTTGAAGCCCAAGAAACAGCTCCACCACCTAGTGTAACAATCCATCCTGTTGTGGATTTATTATCACTAGTGCTCGTGATCCAACTAGCATCAGAAAATGCTTCTAGTACAGCAGGGAAGTTGCTATAGAAGAGTCCCAAATCTTTGGTTCTTTTCAAATAATCAAAGACTCTTCCTATAGCTCTCCAATGATCAGCACTAGGATTACTAGTGAATCTAGAAAGTTTGCCCACCGCAAATGCAATATCGGGCCTAGTACATCCCATTGCATACATCAAACTTCCAATAGCACTAGAATACTCAACTTGTGCCACTGCCCTTCCCTCATTCGCACAAAGCTTAAAAGATGCATCATAAGGGGTGTTAGCCTCCTTTATATCCAAATGCTCGAATTTCTTGAGCATTTTCTCGACATAATGTGACTGACTCAAAGCAAAACCCCCACTATGTTTCTTTACTTTGATGCCCAATATAGTATCTACTTCTCCAAGATCTTTCATTTGGAAGCAGGAAGTTAGATACTCTTTGGTCTCATTTATGCCTTTCATGTTAGTTCCTATTATCAACATATCATCAACATAAAGGCATATAATGACCATATACTCTTTTGTTCACTTTGAATAAATGCATTTATCAGGAGAATTATGAGAAAATCCATGAGCCAAAATAACAGAATCAAATTTCTCATGCCATTGTTTAGGTGCTTGCTTAAGTCCATACAATGACTTGTGCAATTTACACACCTTTCCTTCATTTCTAGGCAACACAAACCCTTTTGGTTGCTCCATATACACTTCTTCATCTAACTCACCATTTAAGAATGTCGTCTTTACATCCATTTGGTGTACATGCAAATTGTAAATAGAAGCCAAAGCTAAAAGCACTCTTATGGAAGCGATTCTTGCAACCGGTGCATAGGTGTCGAAGCAATCTACTCCTTCCTTTTGCCTAAACCCTTTTGCAACCAATCTAGCTTTGAAGGTATGTATTGATCCATCCGTGTTATACTTAATACGAAATACCCATTTGCATCGAATAGCCTTAGATCCAGGAGGCAGATCACCAAGAACCCACGTCTTATTTATTAATAACGAATCCATCTCATCATTAACAACCTCATTCCAAAAAGCAAAATCTCTAGAAGCCATTGCCTCTTGATAGGTTTTGGGATCGTCTTGCACATGCAACAAAATGGGTATCTTTCTTGTAACCTTATTTAACCTATCTCCCTCTACAAGAAAGACTGTATCTTGAGGATCAATAAATTCTGGACCAAAACTCTTTTCCTTTCGAGCACTTTGACTTCTTCATGGTTCATTAGCAGCAGGGTCATCTAAAGGGCTTTTGCTACTAGAACCAATGTCAAAAGCGGGAGCAGAGATAGAATCATTTGAGGAATCTACAGAAGTAACTCGACATGGTTCTACATTTGCAGAGTCACGTCAAAACTTGTTCTCAAAGAACTCAACATCTCTCGATTCCACAACAACATTAGATTCTAAATCTAGAACCCTATAGGCTTTTGAGTTTTCTGCATATCCAAGAAAAACACCTTTCAAAGGTCGTGGTCCTAACTTAGTTCTCTTAGGATCTGGGACTCTGTAGAAAGCAAGACAGCCCCAAACTCTAAGATAACTCAAGTTCGGTTTCCTTCCCTTCCACAACTCATAGGGAGATTCCCTTAGCTTCTTAGACGGAATCCTATTGTGTACATGGCAGGCTGTTAACAAAACCTCACCCCACAAATTGTTTGGAGCACTAGCATTCATCAACATAGCATTAATCATGTCAGAAAGAACTCCATTTTTTCTTTCTGCTACTCCATTCTGCTGTGGGGTGTAAGGAGCAGTTCTTTGATGTATTAAACCATGTTGCTCACAAAACTCGTTAAAGTTATTTGGAAAATACTCTCCATCTCTGTCACTTCGAAGGATTTGTATTTTCCTACCCTTTTGAATTTCAACAACAGATTTATACAATTTAAGTTTATCAAAAGCTTCATCCTTGGTTCGCATTAAATAGACATAGGTAAATCGAGTACTATCATCAATGAAATTAATGAAGTACATACATCCTCCTCCAGTTAATTGACCATGAAATTCACAAATATCATAATGTACTAATTCTAATAATTCTGATTTTCTGTCAACCGACTTAGGAAATTGCTTTCCCTTCATCTTAGCTTGCACACAGATTTCACATTTATCTCCACTGTCATCACCACAAACTACTAAACAATTTCTAGACATGTATTTCTGAGTCTTAAAGTTAACATGCCCCAATCGATTATGCCATAAATCAAATGAAGTACTTTCTATACTATAATTAGCATGCACATCGATATAAGCAGAACCATCAACTTTATTATTAATATTACCATTGTCAATACTTAGCTTAAACATACCATCACTAACATAGCCCTTCCCAACAAACATACCAGCCTTGGTCAGCATCACCCTATCAGATTCTATCACAACTTTTATCCCCTTCTTACAAAGCATGAAACCAGAAACCAAGTTCTTTCTAACATCAGGAACGTGAAGGACATTGGTGAGAACAACTTTCTTTCCCGAAGTGAAGAAAGCTCCACGGTTCCAGATCCAAGAACCTTGATCGTGCGATGATCACCCAACAGAACCTCATGTCCCTTCGTCGACTTTGTGTAGTACTTGAACATGGCTCTCTTGTTGCAAATGTGAGCAGTTGCTCCCGAATCATACCACCAATCAGCACTGGTCATGACTCCAGCCATGTGCAATTCCTGAATTATACTCACATGTAAGTCAGAAATCATTGCAACAATATCACTAGGCTCAACTTTCTCAATCACATTTGCACTTGCAGCCCCTTCGTTATGGTTCTTCTTTGGATTAGAACAGAAGCGAACAATATGTCCCAATTGCCCACAATTGAAACAATTCTTAGTGGACATAGGGGACGGCTTTTTCTTTTTATTCTTCTAGTTGTTGGTCTGGTTGTTGGAATTATTCATGGCCTTTCTCTTCTTTCCCTTCTTGCTCTCCACAACATTCACTTTGGAACTTGATGGTGCCTCCGAATTCAGATCCTTGTCACGGATACGAGTTTCCTCCTCGATCCTAAGGTGCTTTTGAATCTGCTCCAAAGTGAGCTCCTCTGACGTATGAAGTAATTTCTTCCTATAGTTGTTCCATGATGGAGGCAACTTCGCAATAATTGCCCCCACCAGAAACGCATCAGGAAGAGTTATCTTCAATACAGTGAACTTAGAGGCCAAGATTAGGAATTCATGAACTTGGTCCAGAATTGAACGCTTATCAGTCATGCTAAATTCAAAGAACTGGAATGTGACAAACTTATTTGCGCCTTGTTTCTCTGATTTGTACTGGTTCTCCAAAGATGTCCAAATCTCAGTAGGGGTCGCCAACTGGGAATACAGATCATAGAGACGATCAGAGAGTGAATTGAGGATGTACCCTCGGCATAGTAGGTTGTCATCACTCCTCTTCTTGCGCTCAGCCTTCAATTCATCACAGTCAGTGTCTTGTGGTTCTTCTATCGGCACTAAATCAGGATCCAGTATGTACACGATCTTCAAAGCAGTCAACAGAAACTTCATCTTCTCTTGCCAGCGGGTGAAATTGGTTCCATCAAACCGATTGAGTTTGTTGGAATCAGAGGCATACGCCTTTAAAGTGCTCTCCACTCTAGAATCCATTTTCACACGAAAATAAACACTCTAAAATTGTCAGCTGATGTGGCGCATATGTGGCTGCCACATATGTGCCATGTAACCAAAAGTCAACATTTTATGGTTGACTGTTTTGTCAACAGTTATCTATAACGGTCAACAAAATTATAAGGACGTAAATGACACACAATTATCATACGTCAGAACACATATGTCATATCGAATACTTTAGGACATAAATGACACAAAGTTAATAGTTCGAGTTTCCTAGTGGTGTTAGCCCTTTAATCTATCATAGTGCCACTCAATAATAGAAGTGGTCACCCAATAGTTCATACATAGTTGATAGTTTGGATATATGTTTACTATAAATGTGAAATATGTGAATAGTCTATAGATATTCTGATGAATTTACCCTATATGAGATTCTACCAAATAACTTGATCTTTGTTTTGTAGTAATATTTATTACAATATACTCTAGATATAGTCGTATGAGTATAAGAATCACGAGATGGAAGATGCAATAATATTTACTTATTAATTAAATACATCTGACACAAATGTGTATTTCTGTTAACTTATAAAAAAATAATTTTATGGGTCGTTTGCTTCATGGATTTATAAATGAGGGTTTTTATTATGGATTTAAAGGTGTGGGATTTACTACTTGAAGTAAAAAATTACATTACTGCCCTTTTCTATATGTTTGACATGTTTATGATATGTACACAAAACAAGGACAAAACTTCAAAATTACCTTACTATCATTTTCTATATGTTTGACATGTTTATGATATGTACACAAAACAAGGACAATACATACTAATAAGCATAATGTTGCCACATGGACAATAATAATAAACGAGAAAATTCCGTTTTAACTTTTAACGTAACATAATCAATACCAATTCTTTGTCCTCCTTTTCAAAAGTAACATATAACAACATATATTAGAATCGGGATAACAAAGAATTACACGTTCCATGAAAAGGTCAAAGAAAACTAGAACACAAGAAATTATATAAAAAAATCTAACTCATGTTTGCACATTAATTGAACGTTTATATTATTCATCTATTGTTAATTATAATGTATAATAGTTAAATTTGAGGGCAACCTTGGAATATTAAAAGTGCATGAGGGTATATGGGTAAAATGTCATCAATGATTTATGCCATATTCCAAATCCCACATCAACATGTGGGATTTATAAGTCCGTGGGGTCCACGGATTTGGACCCTTAAAATCCGTGGGCCCCACGGATTTGGTCTCTAAAAAAGGTGCAAGCAAACAACGGATTGTACCTAAATCCTTGATAGTTGGTTTTTTGGTACCAAATCCATGTACCAAATCCTTGAAGCAAACGACCCCTTATATATTACGGCCAAGGTACAAGCTAGTTATTAGGGGTGTCAGTTCGGGTCAGGTTCGGTTACCCGAACCGAAACCCGAAAAAACCCGAAACCGAAAATCACTAAAACCGAACCCGAACCCGATAAGGACTTTCGGGTTTTTGGTTACCCGAAACCCGAAAATTCCTTATCGGGTTCGGGTTCGGTTAAAGCAAAACCGAAACCCGAAAACTCGAACTCCTAAAAATACGGGTTGAGTTCTATTCATTGGAGGTTTTTAGCCGGAACCCGAAAAACCGAAAAGCAAAACCGAACCCGAAACCGAAAAATCCGAAACCCGAACCCAAAAAACCGAAAATGTATATAATCGGGTCGATTTCGGGTAAACCCAAAAAACCGAAACCGAATGGACACCCCTACTAGTTATATTATGTGGAGAGGGTTTTCATCGATCATTATTACTTCTTTCAATGGATGGGCTAGCTGGGTTGTATGAATGTGGGTCGGGCGCTGTACAGAGTCGTAGATGAATCCGTTACACTCTATGGGGGTCCAATGACAACGAAAAGAGACACCATCCGGCCCACTAATTAGTATACGCCCGGCCCGTCGAGGATTGCAGTGATTGGCGGGTTTCTCTTCTCTCTACTCTAGCCCTTCCAGTTTTGTCTCCTGACCTGGAAATGGGCTAATGGTAAGCAAACACCATCGTTGTTCCGTTTGGACCACAATGGTCAAGAAAGGAACAAACATAAACATTAACTAGACGAGAATCAGTCTTTCCATGGATTCAGGTATGATCCACTTACAGCACCCAACAATCAAGAAGCAAAGCTAGGAACCAAAAGAACAAATAGATATGCTGCAATCTTTTCCATTTGATCACCATCTGCAAGTTTTAAAGCCAAGCTATGCTGCACATTTAGTGGACGATAAAAAGATCTCGACCACGACATTTTCATAAGAGATCAAAATGTACGTGCTTGTTTTGAAACAAAAATAGACCATCTATTTCAGATGCTTCTGTGAAATGAATCCTACTAAAACAAAAAGAAATCAGGATCCTAAAAAAAATTAGGTTATTTCTGTCACTGTTGTGAGGAGAAGGAAACCAAGAAAGAACTGCTAGGCTGTGGACTTACCACAAGGTTGTGTTCAACGTTACATTTGAAATGAACCCCAATGAAGCTTTTCAGGCAGTCTGGGATTCTAGTTGCCGAATTCCAAACACAAATCCAACAAATTTTTGTACTTCCCAAATACTACATAGAGAAGGTCACCCCAAATCTCGGCTTCCCACGATCGTGTTCGAATTTCTTCAACATGTAATAGTAGTTCAGCTGCAACAAAATCAAATGCATGTTAGTGAAGTAACTGCACTAAGTCTGATTGCTAGAGTTTCTCATGGTACTACTCATTAAAACAACATTCCAACATCTCCTAATTGGAATTCAGGGCACCGACCTCAAGGCGGAATGGCTGGATTGGAACAACAATCCCAGCACCAATGGAGGTTCGGAATGAAGACACAAACTTCTGCAAGGAGAAATCTTTGTATGCGTTTTGTGTTAATCTCTCGAGACTTCCAGCGGATGCGAATATGTGGCCATGGATTCCTCTGTCTCTGAACCATCTCAGTGGGAAGTCGAGAGAAAGATCAGCAAAAGCAGTAACAGCAAGATCTCCGCCAAGAAAATCGACCCCGGGATCAGCAGCATCCTCATCACCACCATTGCTTTTCAGTTGCCTTCGAGGCTCTGTTGGGCCAAGTCCCCTGGTTCGATATCCCCACACTGTTGTTGGGCCCCCCAGACTGCTAATTGGAGATGAATTGCCACCTAAGAAGAACCTATCAGGAAGAGGTGATGGGAAGTTTTTGAAACCAGTTCCCCACGGGAAGACAATGCCGCCAGAGATCCCTAAGTTGAGAGCAGAATTCAGAATTCCAAGCGGGATGGCATAACGAAGATCAACCTCCTGTATGAAGTACATTTTGAGTTATTAAAGATGATCCCGAGGCATAACAGCTAAGCGGGAGTATGAATCATCGTATAGACTAGCCATCAACTCATGCAGCAAGCAGAGTGGCCAAAAGTTTTTGGATGAAATAACTGATAATCCAAATTATATACGCAAATAAAATAAACTCGTTTCTGAACAACCATTTCACCATTAGATAACAAATAACTCACATGGAAAATACTGACTAATTGACTAGGGGAAAACACCCACTCATTATTGACAAGAGATGCACACTCTCAAAGAAAAAACAAGAGACGCACCACGAATCCAACTATTATACAGTAGCAGATAAGAAAAAGCAACCACAAAGGAAGTGTTATACTGCCGGGAAGGAAGAAAAGAGCAACTCTTGCAAACGGGAAGGAAGAAAAGAGCAACTCTTGCAAACTCAGAAATATAAACTCCAGTGAGATAAGGATTAATCACAACAATCTGTGGCTCAAGGAATGTAGTTTGTGCAACAAAGCTCCAGAAAGAAACAGCTAAGAAAGAAACTACGGATTCACACAAGTTACAGCGTACATAATTAATAAGGCAGTCACAGTTCATAGTTGAAAGGGAATCATGCACCTGACGTAGGAAACGTGAGCACCGACTATCCGGTGCAAGGCCAGCAATTTGGGAGGTAGCAGCAAAAGCATATCCTCGAACTGGTCGCAAAGGTGAATTTCTCCTGTCAACCTTGAAAGTATATTTCAAAGATGAGAGTAAACTGTGACCAAGCTGCATCCTCACTGACCTGGATGCCAACTGTGAGGGATCTGTCAAGGTACGCCATCCGAGATTGTAGACCAAGTCATGGTTCCTAGAGGAGAGCAAGGCCACAGAAAGGCCCATTGACCTCTCTTTGAATGAAGAGAACTGCAGCCAGTCTTGGGATAGCAGGAATGCACGGACATCCAGTGGAAATGAAGCTCCTCTGAATCTTGGGAAATGCACACCAGCACTTAGCTCTGCCAAATTATCCCAACCATAAGCAAAAGAGCCATCCCAAAGATCCCCATGACCAAATATGTTTTTGAACTTTAGTGTTCCTTCAACAGTCGAAGATCTTGCCTGAAAAGTCGGTACAAAATCGAGATAGAATTGACAAAAAATTAGTTCAGTGCAAGTGCAAGGATTGCAAACCCAAGGAAGCAGGCATCATTCATCATTTATGGTTTACATCAAATCCAACAATCTGAATGAACTTTTTTTTTTTTAACATAGACAGTAGTCAGGCAAATCCCTAACCAATACAGAGTCAAAGAACAGAAAATAACACCGTGCAGTAGTCGACAAATAGTCGAACTTCCGATGAAAGGGCCTGTTATACCACAAAATGGGCAGCCCTATGAGCAGCTGTACCTGATACACGTGATGACTTTCTCAAAGGTACTCGCAACTGTAGTAAGGCAACTACAGAACCATGTGTATTGAATCATCAGAAGCGAGGGTGATGGTCCGGTAAGTTAAGTCCTTTGACACATTTCACGAATCACAAACTAGCATTCCATCTTATCCTTAACACCAATACAAATCGTATGAAGATGTGAGAGCAAGGACAATCAATATCAAGCATCAGCTAATTTGCAAGGATCACGAATTCATTCTTCTCTCCTTCATTCCGGTTGTCCTAAGCTGGAATCCCACATTTTTCAATCCACATTCCATAACTATCAAATTCACCTATGAATACTAATCCTAACTTCCCTGTATCGCTCTTAGCCGCAGTCATTGAGTTAAATCAATCTCAGCAAGTTCAAAAAACTTGTTTTTCAAAAGGAACCCTTCACACTAATCTGTACAGAGAGAGGCAATGCCATATGACACCGAGTTTCCTTATTCAATTCGTCAATCAATTAAACCAGCACATATAAATATGAAAAACACAATTTGTAACAGACAATACCTCGGCCTTCGTATAAGCCCCAATCTCACCAGAAAGAGGGCTTTTAGCCTCCTGAACCTCCACGATGACGTTCGACGTCCCAGGGAGCTCCGGAGGGCCAG